GTCAGGCTAGAATCTACATCTCATGATTGCTGGTATAAGACATTTCTGGTGACTATTTGGATATTAGCTGTGAAGTCTCCTAATAACACTGAAAAAAAATCACTTCTATTATTGATAATTGTTGACTTAAGTAAAAGTGAATAATCACAATTCTGTCTTCTAACAAAAAGTGTTGCTATTATCACCCTTTAGTTGCATTAGCTTATTCTTTTTTTAATAAATTCATAAATTTAAAAAATTTTCTCAGTTTAAATTTCTAATATAATAAATATAAACAAGGTATGACCCACATAGGAGACGAACCATGAGAGACAATGGACTCTGAAAAACAAACTGAGGGTTCTAGAGGGGAGGGGGGTGGGAGGATGGGTTAGCCTGGTGATGGATATTAAGGAGGGCACGTTCTGCATGGAGCACTGGGTGTTATGCACAAACAATGAATCATGGAACACTACATCAAAAACTAATGATGTAATGTATGGTGATTAACAATAAAAAAAAGTAAAAAAAAAAGATATGACCCACATAAACAAAAGCTCTTTGGGGGTCCTCAATAATTTTTTTTTTATGTATATAACGGCTTTCTAGGACCAAAAAGTTTGAGAACCATGGTCATAGATGAGATTAGGTGGTTGTGAGCCAAAACGTTAACAGTGGTTATCTTCAGGTAATGAAATCAGAGGTGGTTTCCCTTCACTTTTTTTAGATGATTATTCTCTACATTCTCTAAAAGAAGAGAAAGTTGTTATTCTTAAAAATCATGGATTCTTTTTTGTTTCTTAATGTAGCACAGTGATTTATCTTATGTGTATCTTGCATGTGTCACTATGCTCTAAACAGTGACAGCCTTCTTAAATCTCAAACTCACTGGACAAGACGACTTTGTTGAGCTTTGTGTTGGTGCTTTGTAATTATAAACAAAACATTGGTTTGAAATTATGATAACAGAAATATGTTATTGCTTATAATGAACCAAGCACTCCCAATTTTCTTACTTCTCAAGCACATAATTCTCAATTCAACCCTCAGAAGATATCTGTATAGCTTGCCTAAATTATATTACTTTAAAAGTGGATCTTTCCCTCTGCCCAAGTATAACTAACATTGAGGTAAAGGCTTTATGGATATCATTTTTCACATGCTTTTATAATGGTAAAACAGAACCTAGCGACAGTTGGCTCTTGAAGCCATTTTCCAGATTAAGGAGAACAACTGTAAATAACCAATGTCTGCTTAGGGATATGCTAGGTACTATGACGTTTTTCTCTATTCGAGTGGTTCTCAAACTTTTTTTTTTTTTTTTTGGTACGTAAGAATCACTTGGGGAGGTTGTCAAAAATTCATATTCTCCACATCTCAGTCTCAGATATTCTGGTTTCAGAGTCGGCAGCAATGCAGGAATCTTCACATTAACAAGCTTACAGGTCAAGCTCCCTTGAAGAGTGGCCCCTCGTACTCCACTGAACCTGATTTCTTAAAGATTTCCAGTGATGCCTTAGAGATTAAAACCATTGTCCTCTAATGATCTCCTTCACACTTTTGCTTCTACCACACTGACCATTATTTCTGATCATTCCTTCACATTCTTCTTTGCTTGAGCTTTAAATCACTTAAACCATTCACCAAAGACCAATGCTGGCCATTTTTCCTTTTTTACTCAGTAAGTTCCATCACTGAGTACCTTTACCTTTATCTCCGCAGTGTAACCGCTGTGTAGAACTTTCTCAAATGGCACCAAACTCCATGCTCTGTCCTGGTTTCAGTTGCACATTTTTTTTTTTTAAGATTTTATTTTATTTATTTGACAGAGAGAGAGAGCACAAACAGGGGGAGTGGCAGGCAGAGGGAGAGGGAGAAGTAGGCTCCCCACTGAGTAGAGAGCCTGACATGGTGCTTGATCCCAGGACCCCAGGATCATGACCTGAGCTGAAGGCAGACGCTTAACCAACTGAGCCATGCAGGTGTCCCCAGTTGCCCATTTCTAACTGCCTTTCAGTGTTCCTCAGGCTCCTCAAACATTATGGTCAAAACTTTCCTTTCCCCTCCTATGTACTCACAAGCTAAGATCAGAAACTAAATTACTATTCTTTTTGACACTCAGTCTCAAAGACTTGGAATTTTCTTTACGTTTCACTCCCAAAGTATCAAAGCAGTTGTCAAATCCTGCTCTGATCCATAAAATTCTCCTTATAGTTTTTCATGCTTTTGTTACTGCCCTAATTAAGGCGCTTTAAATCTCACCAATTCCATCTTAAATGTTCTTTCCACTTCACAACCTCCTAGAAAAGCCACTGGATCTGTTCAAGTATATCCATGATTAGATTACCCCTCTGCCCAATGACCCAGACTCTGCAGTACTTCCTGTAGGTGTTACTTTCCTGTTTTTCAAAGCCATCCACTGAAATCTCCTACTCGGTCTCTTTCCCAAACATGGCTAGTCATCCTACTACCCACTACTGGCTCTATCATTCTTCAAGATCCAATTCAGGGGTAACCCTAAACTCCCTAGAAAGAAAGCAAAATAAGCATTATAGTTTAGTAAGGGAAATGCCCTCAACTTCTACGTGTTGTTCACTTGTATTTAATGGTATAAAAGAGTATCAGGTGACTGTTAATAGTTAGTGATTAAGTACCATTGATGTATTAGTTAGAAGCCTTTGAATATCTTAAGCAAGCACCTTAAATAGTAACAATAATAGTTACTATTGTAGACCATCTACAGAGAACTTACCAAGTACTTCAAATACATTACAGTATACATTTACAACAATTTGTCAAAAGAATTATGACCTTCAATTTTATAGATAGAGAAAATATATTTCCTAAATATGTAACTCCAAGGTTACTGTAACTAGGAAGTGGTAGACCAAGAATTTAAACATGGATCTATCTGACCCTGACGTCGGTTGTGCTCCACTGTGCCTGTCTCTTGGTGAAAAGTTCTGACGCTGTCAGCACATGGTATGGAACTGTTGACAAGTAAAGACTCCAACCTTCAGTGCAGAGTGAGCTCTAAATTTATGCTGACAGCCATTAGAAGTTGACTTAGAGTATAACCTAAAAGCATATTAAAAATGCATAGGTTGATTGTTGAACATCTGAGTATATGACAGTGTTCTGATTTACTCCATTAAATAGCTTCTTTTCTTAAAGTTTTTATTATTTTATTTTATTTATTATTTTTTTCTTCAAGTTTTTAAAGGAAAAACTTTAAAGTTTTTTCTCTGATACAGAACTTGAGCACTTAACAGATTGTTTAGAGCTTCATAATAAAAAGGCTCCACCTAGTGGAGCAATTCAACTATATAGCAAGACAGAAGTAGCAAAGTTAAATCCCTTACACTAAAGCCTAAAATGATGACAGTTTCAGAGAAATGATGTTTGCTCTGACATGCACAGTATCTAGTTTTCACCATCCCTTGATAAAAGGGAAGAAAGTGAAGATACTATGGATGGAGGTAAAGTAAATGCAAGTACTGGGATTTGTTCGTAAGTTCAACACATTGACCAACATCCCAGTAAGATATCAAAGTGGCTCTACTCTGTGAAGTCAAAAACATTAATACACAAAGTCCTAGCCCTGCTAGGACTTGGGAAAACAGTACTACACAAAGACCGCTGCTAGGACTTGGGGAAAAAAAAACAAACAAAAAAAACAGAATTTGAAGGTCAGTGTTATCCCTAGTAACTAGAACAAGCCCAACATCATGTAGGTAGTTAATAAACACTTGCTGAAAAAGTCCACATACTTTAAAAAGGTCAATAAAAAATTCTATGGTTGAATAACTTTTTAAAAATTTTAATTCCAGTATAGTTAATATACAGTGTTATATTAGTTTCAGGTGTACAACATAGTGGTTGAATAACTTTTAAAATAACTATACAGTGATACTTCAATTAACTGTGATTCCTTTACTTCATAGCTTTGATTAGCCAAACACGGGAAGCTCAAAACTGCCTTTGTACATCCAAAGGAAAAATCAAAGTTTGTTCTTCAAGTGCTCTCATTTATATGCTCTTTCAATAGAAAGCATTTATTGAATGACTCAGACCTGTTGCTGATGGTAAAACAAAACAAAACAAAAACAGACATACCAAAACACTAAAAAAATTCCATTACTTCAGACATATTCAAATTAAAAACCAAAGCCCACTGTGGATGAGAAGATCAATTTGGAACAGGAGGAGAGGAAAGCGAAACCTTAGAAGCAAGCAGATTATTAGTGGCAAGATGTAACAACCTATGTCCTTTTAACAGAGAAGAAGGTAAAATCTGGGAAACCTGAATGAAGACCTGTACTCAAAAAAAGAGCTGCTTAGGCCAATCAGCCCTACAGCAACACAGTGGCCATTAAAAATAAGCGTATTTTTCAATGCATGTTCATAAAGCTTCTTCCAGAAAAAGTTCTATAACTTTTAAAATCAAGAATATACTTCTAAGGCGCACCAGGGTGGCTCAGTCGGTTAAGCGGTTAAGTGTCTGACTCTTGGTTTCGGCTCAGGTCGTGATCTCAGGGCTGTGAGATGGAGACCTAAGTCTGGCTCTGTGCGCAGCAGGGAGTCAGCTTGAGATTCTTTCTCTCTCTCTCCCTTTGCTCCTCCCCCCATTCATGTGCACACTCTCTCTCAAATAAATAAATCTTTAAAAAAAATTTAAAGAAAAAGAATACACTTTTAAAAACTTTCCAGAAATTGTCATCAAAGGAGTCTTTGCCGTGCCAAGGGTTATAGTAACTTGTATCTTTCAGAAAACTTGTTTAGAACCCTTCTTTTGCGAAGATTTTAGTAAATGAGGCATCGCTGCAACAGTGTGATAGGCTAAATGCTGTTTACAGACATGACCAAAATTTTCCCTCTGAAGAGACAGTGGGTGTGGATTTGACCATCGGCAGACCTGAAGGTCAGAGCTGTCAAAGATGACCCAACATGTCAACAAAAGACAACGATATCACCACTATTTTATTTATTTATTTTTTACTTTAAGGTTTTTGAGAACTTACCGCCCAAAAGAAACCAGCTTAAGTGAACCAACATTTTCAAACAGTTGGGCTTTTGCTGCCACACTGAAAAATAATTTTAAAATGCAAGTTCCATTAAAATTGATCAGAAAATCATTCAGTTCAAAGTACAATTCGGGGTTATCAGTTAACACAAACCAAAAATAATTAGTTAAGAACTGTCCACAAAATCTGACCTGAATTTTAATTGTTTTAAGCTTTAATGTGAAAGAAATTTTTAGATCTAGTCTCCAGCTCATAGACTACCAGATGTAATAAACCTATAGCTACCTCCCCTGGGGTTCTTACTGTCCTCATCTTTTCTACTTCAGAAAACTGTGGGAGCAGTAAAAAAGAACCTTTTCTCCCCACTCAGCTTCTGGCAGTGATACTGACCCCTGTGGAGCCAAAGGAAAGAATCAAATCATCAAGACAAAAGAACTGTTGTTCATTCTGATAGCTAAGATAAAACTAATTCTAAAATGTTTCATATTTTTTTAAATATTTGAACATAGTTCTTAAAGTGAAAAGAGGGAACTCTGAAAATTTGTGGATTCAAATCTTATTTCAAATCATGGGAGGGAGCGCATGATCTATTTGAAAAACTGAGACTATATTAAAACTAAGGCACCCTGGGGTAATTAGAAAAGTTTCTATACTTACTAAAAGAGAATTTCAAATTCTGTGAATGATGTTTTAAATTAGATTTTTAAAGTGTATCTTATTTCTTTAATTGACAAACTTTTCTCCCACCATCTAGGCAGTTGATAATATGAAGGATCATTTTACACCTAATACAGAATATATATTCTCTCAATTTTAATTTCTACTTCATCAGTACAATTACAAAACAGAAGCAAATCTTCTTTCCCTCACAAAGGATGGAATTTATATTGACATATTGGCTTAAAATTTATTTTTCCTTAATGGCTAGAACTGTACACACTGGACAGTAGACAGATTTATAAATATAGTATTTGTCTATATAGTGGTAGTTGGATTTCTGATCAAGAGAGATAATGTATGTCAAACACACGCTGTAATCAAAAGGTTCTTGTCAAAGGAGATGTGATGAATGAATGAATTTAAGATACTGTTCCTATGGAAACAGGCTTACCGGAATGCCTTACTGGACTTTCAGTGAATAATTAAATGGGCTCCTTAACTTTCCAAGTATTAGTTCTCATTATCTCTAAAATGAGGTTTCTACTACCTACTGTGGAGGGACATGAAGTACATTAAGAGATAATATATGTTAAGGTGCCCAGTAATTATAGCATTTGGAAAGCTCAGGAAAATAAAATGAAAGGGCTAAAAACTTTCCTTTTTAGATTTTGCTTACTTCTTTATCCAAGTTCCCATTTGCTCTTCTTCGTCCCCTTCCTATTTACATCTATGTACTCTATCCTATCGGCCTAACTTACATTTCTGGGTCTTTTGATTAAAAGTACTCTCTTTCACCTTTCACGCTCCTTGTTCTCCACGTAGGGGAGACAGATGATGGAGAGGAGAGAGAACAAACCCTCACAATGTAGACAGCAGTTGCATTTCTAACAGAGAGGTGGGGGAGGTGGGATATGGGCAGTTGGCTCAGCTGAGAGGCAGATGTCTAGCTTTTACAGAATGTCTAGTTTCAAAGCCCAGAACTACTATATTATACATCCAATCTCATGTCTTTAAATTAAGCCATAGTTCTGCTTGTAAGGCAAATGACTGAAATTGTATGTGTGTGGAATATATCTATCTTAAGCCTCCTCTAATTTGTAATACACCATTTGTAGAAGAGGACAGGGTCCTTCAGAAGTTGACTGTTCCCACACTACAGATGAGGCATTCAGCTGAGGGACTCCTAAAGGTTCTTTGGGACATACTCAACCCCTGTGTATCCCTAGATGATACAACAAATACAAACTGTCTCTCACTTACACAGATCCAGGTCGCTGGTAGCCATTGCTCGAGGCAGTGTCCAGCCTTAACCTCCTGCACATTTTTGGAGGCAGGTCTGGGTGTGGTGGGGCTTTGGGCATCTCTTTGGAACCTACAGAAGTTAAGCTTTGAATGGATCCACTGTAGCTCTTGCTTCCTAAAGAGAAAACCCAAGAAAACAGGCAAGGTGCTATCAGACAAAATAACACCAGTAACACAGTACATGCACGTAACAAAAGGAAGCATTTTTCTCTAAGCCCAAATGAGAAGGTACAGAATGTTCTTTGAGCACAGCAGCCCATCACTCAGAGAGATCACAATCTACAGTAATTACAAAAACATCACCTCACGGAGATGGAAAGATCCACAAAAAAGGTCCCAGTGCACCAGTTTTAAAAATCCTAGCTCAGGAACAGCATTGTTAGCCCCTTCACCATTAACTTTTCCCTCCTTAATCATGCTGAATAATCCAGCAAGTGATAGAGAGACAATGACATTTTATATAACCTCAAATCTGGTTTACCTTCAGCTGCAGAGATGGATCTGAGAGAGGAAGCTGAGGCTCTTTTCAGTCCTGAAAGCCCATACGGCCCTTTCTTGACCAGGTCTATGGGTGGGGAAACATCCCCTGGGCTGGTGACCGAGGCAACACTCTGGCAATCTGATTCTGCATCCGTTTTGGTTGCATCCTCTTTAGAACTTGATTCAGGACTAGTTGTCCAGAGTCCAAGACTCTTCTGTCCATTGGAAGGTGATGGGGATACAATCCAAGGAATCCCTCCAGATTTCTCCCTGGGCTGGCAGGAAGCAGACTTGGTTGTGCTGTTTTGCTCAGAGGAGTGAGAGGAGAGTGACTCAATGCTCCCCATGGGTGTGCTGTCTGGGCTGCTGCTGTAAGAGTCACCTGAGTGGGAGCGAGAAAACAGCAGCGGCTGTCTACTGAGACAACACAACCAAACCCTTCCATTCTCCAACTCACACGCGCTCAGCGACCACCTGATCCCAATGGAGTAACAGGCCTGTACCCAGTGTGGAAAACCGCCATCTGTTCTGGAGAAAGGCTTTAAAACATGCATTTCAACTCAGTGAATGCATTTTTCAACACTATTCAAGGAAGATTTTATATGTACCCTGACCCTATGAAATAATGTTACTTCTTGAAGGATTAGTGAGCTGGCTTGAATTCACACAAAATTTGCTTCTGGGGACACCTGGGTGGCTCGTCAGTTAAGTGTCCAACTCTTCATCTCAGCTCAGATCTTGATCTCAGGCCTCACATTGGGCTCCATGCTGTGCATGGAGCCTACTTAAAAAACTTGCTTCTGAAAAAGAACTCACAAATAATAGTAGTAAGATTCATTGATGACATTATAAGAGATCGCTGGAAGGAGGGATTTTACAGACATGTTTCTGCCTTTATTTTCCTGATGTTAAGTAATTCTGAGTTAATGCGTCTGAGTCCTTCTTCATTGAAAGGCACCAGTCATGTCAGCTACAAATTAGAAGCTGCTTACATTTTTAAAAGAAAGGACTTTTTCCAATCAGAGAAAGACATGTATCATATGACCTCACTGATATGAGGAATTCTTAATCTCAGGAAACAAACTGAGGGTTGCTGGAGTGGTGGGGCGTGGGAGAGATGGGGTGGCTGGGTGATAGACATTGGGGAGGGTATGTGCTATGGTTAGCGCTGTGAATTGCACAAGACTGTTGAATCACATAATGCAATATATGTTAAGAAAAAAAAAGGAAGAAGAAGAAGATAGCAGGAGGGGAAGAATGAAGGGGGGAAATCAGAGGGGGAGACGAACCATGAGAGACGATGGACTCTGAAAAACAAACTGAGGGTTCTAGAGGGGAGGGGGGTGGGAGGATGGGTTAGCCTGGTGATGGGTATTAAAGAGGGCACGTTCTGCATGGAGCATTGGGTGTTATACGCAAACAATGAATCATGGAAACACTACATCAAAAACTAATGATGTACTGTATGGTGATTAACATAACAATTAAAAAAAACAACAACTGTAGGGGCGCCTGGGTGGCTCAGTCGTTAAGCGTCTGCCTTCGGCTCAGGTCATGGTCCCGGGGTCCTGGGATCGAGCCCCACATCGGGCTCCCTGCTCTGCGGGAAGCCCTTCTCCCTCTCCCTCTCCCCCTGCTTGTGATCCTGCTCTCACTGTGTCTCTCTCTGTCAAATAAATAAATAAAATCTTAAAAAAAAAAAAACAACTGTGGATCTTTGGGGCACTTGGGTGGCTCAGTTGTTAAGTGTCTGCCTTTGTCTCAGGTCATGATCCCAGGGTCCTAGGATTGAGCCCTACACCGGGGCTCCCTGCTTGGCGGGAAGCCTGCTACTCCCTCTCCCACCCCCCCGCTTGTGTTCCTTCTTGCTGTTCTCTTTCTGTCAAATAAATAAATAAAATCTTAAAAAAAAGAAAAAGAAAGGACTTTTTCCTCTTCCTGCTGAGAATATAGCAATGTAAGAAACTGCCTATTTAACTGAATTACTTTTTAATGTTCTTAAAAGTAAGTTTTAAGAAACAAATCAGAAAAACTATAATAAAGTATTCAAACATATATAAATTAAAAATTAGTGTTTTCTGTTAAATACTGACCATGAGAAAAAATTGCAGGGCATGGGGGTGTAGAGTAAAACAAAACAAGTTTAACATGCACCTCGGGCTCAAGCTGCCACCCACTGTGGGGCTTGGTTCAGAACAGCAAGTTAGTGATAATGTGTAGTGTGGTTTCTCTTTGTATTTCTTTTCTCTTTCTCTTTCAGACACTTTGATACCCAAGAGATGATGCTTTAAGGACATAATGTGAAAAGAAGAAAGAAAAGGACTGCTTTAGCCAGACTTTTTCTTGCTTTCTCCTCTACCACTTTGACAATAGGACAAAACCTGCTACAAAGTAGCACTCGATGTACTTAATAGCAGTTGCAGAAAAAAAGGGCACTGAGCAAACTATTTTTTTTCCTTTGTAGCAGTAATGAATTTGTTTGTTCAAAGTACCTTGTAACCATACTGACAAAGAATATATAAATGGGAGGGGAGTGTTGGGGAGACAGTATCAGTAAAACCATCTATTTATTTCTACCCTAAGGTTGGTAAGGTGAGGGAAGGCTAAATCAAAGAATGAAGAAAGCATTTCCCTACAGCAGGCACACTTACTATCAGGTTCTGCCAAGCACGGTGTATACCTCCCTCTAGGCTTCCGGGAACCTGTGGAGAGGCAGATTGCTCGTGTCCTTCGGGATCCAGATCGAGACTGAGGCTGAGGAAGAGGAATGCTTGGGTCTGGGGCAGTATGAAAAATCTACATAAAAAAAAAAAAAAATTGGACAGAGGTCAATAAAAGGGGGCAACTGCCATTTTCATCATAAAATGGTATTTGTGAGTTAATAAATAATCTTAGAACTATATGCTATTTAATCAGCTTCATGGCAAGAGATGCTTGATATAAAAAATATCCTACAGCAATTATAACTTTCTTTTCCACTTACACTGAGTAATGTCCACTCTCTGGGTTTTCTTTTTTATCTTCCCCAATCTCCCAACAATGAATTTCAGAAGATTTTCCAATAATTTCAAATATGAACAAATGTCTGTGTCAAGACACATTGACTCTTACTATTGTGATATTTTCTTTCTCGCTTCATGCTGAACATAACCTGAAGGGAAGAGGCTCATTCTGTATCATTTCCCCAGCCAAGCAGTTCCTTGCTTCTCAGGAGAAGGTGCTGTCATGCTGTTGGTCCTGAGCTGTCTTGGAACATGACAAGCTGCAGGGAGAAGTCTGAGCACAGCTGCAGGATACAGCCAGGTGGTCTTGGGTTGTGAGTGCTTGCAACCTTAGATAAATGAAGGATATTCTTCTACAGGCACCAAGAAGGGACCCAGGGAAAGAGAGTGCATAGTCTTTCTCTGACAAGGACTAGACCAGGCATAAGTGGATCACAAATGTTTTGCTTTTCAATGGCTGGATTTACTTAATAATCCAATCACTGTGACTTTCCCAATTTCCCATTTCCATAGTTATTCAAAGATCTCAATCTTGTCAAAGAAACCATGTTTAAAGGCCAGAGAGGACTTCAAGACTGTCTCTGGAATTCTTTTGTCTTATTGAGAATATTACTGCTGCTCTAAGTCTAATTCCAGAGAGATAAAAAGGTTAAAACTATACTTGATCACCAAGTGATTCTAACAGATTCTCTGAATATGAGCAAAAAATTCACTACATAAATACTAAAGAAGAAAATCTTGAAAAGTAAATGATGTAAAAGGAAAGCAAACCATTTACCTGGAGGATTCTGAGAAGCACTTAAAAACTAAACAAGAAAAAAAAGAAATCAAAGTCCTCATGAAGAAGCAATTCATACAAAATGTACAAGACTGATACTTTATAAGAATCTGAGATCACAATGAACTCACAGATAATACAAATGAGAAATTCCTTCTTAAAAGCAAGGTACAAGATTTGATACTTCCACATGAAAATTCAACCTACCTTTTCATAGTGCTCGATCAGAATTTCAACCACAATATTCTGAAATTTAATATTCATCATGGCAGCCACAGTTTCTTCTTGTGCTCTCATTAGAGTTGGGCCAAATATGACTCCAAGGTTTGAGACAGTCATGAGATTTTGTTGGCTGTGTAGTGATACTCTGCAAATAAGAGCAATAAAAATAACATAAGTTAAATGTTTAATAATTAGGCAATGTTCTCATTTATCAAATTTGTGGCATAAATAAAATGTAAAATATGCCATGATAGGTTAGTTTTCAGGTTCAACCTGAAAATATGCCATGATAGGTTAGTAGTCAGGTTCAACCACTCCCAATTGGCATATGTGGGTATAGCCTAAAAAGACATAAAAAGGTAACATTAGCTAAGTAAAAATAATTATAAAGCTTGATTAAAGGAATAAATCTTGATATCCTAAATTAAATATAATCACCCTAGAGAGATTATGAGTTGTTAGGGAGTCTCTAGGGTACTATACTTCTTTTAGAACAGATGGTTAAGATTAGATTGGTTGGAATTATATTTGGATACACTGAACATATTGAGAACCTGGTGCCAGGCATTTTCATAGATATTGATTGCATTTAATCCTCCCAGGAAGTCTGTTTTTCCTATTGTAAAGGTTAAAAAAAAGCAAAACTGGGGTGTCTGGGTGGTGCAGTTGGTTAAGTGTCTGACTCTTGGTTCTAGCTCAGGTCATGATCCCAGGGTCCTGGGATGGAGCCCCGAGTTGGGCTCCCCATTCTTCACGAGTCTTCTTGTCTCTCTCCTTCCCCCTCCGTCCCTCCCCGATCCTTCTCACTCTCTCAAATAAGTAAATCTTAAAAAAAAAAAAGCAAAACTCCTAAAGTAAAAATGATGTATTCCATGTAACAGCAAATTGGGAACAAAGATGCTATTTCAGTTCAGGTCTCCTGAATATGTCAGGGGTTTTCTTAAGCTCCCTACATAAGACAACTAGCCAATGTCTTTCTTCTTCCCTTCCCTCCATCCACCCATCCATCCATTCAAAATTTCCCCGGGTGCCTCCTTAGTTGTGGGCACTATGTTAGGTAAACAGTAAGAGAAGGAGATAGGGTAGCATCAGTGCTGGCTTGAAAATGAAAATGAAAGGAAAAGCCTCTGGTATTACTGGCCTTAGCAAAAGTCACCTTATCCCAGTTACTGTCAAAAATGACTTTGACTACTTTAGAAATTAGATATATTCTTTTTTTAAAGATGATTTATTTGAGAGGGTGAGTGCACAGGGGAGCTGGGGGAGAGGCAGGGGAAAGAATCTCAAGCAGACTCCCTGCTGAGTGGGGAGCCCTACTCAGGGCTTGGTCTCAGAACCCTGAAATCATGACCTGAGCCAAAATCAAGAGTCAGACACTTAACCAACTGAGCCACCCAGGCGCCCCAATTGGGCATATTCTTAAGAAAAAACCTCATTCATTTGACCAATCTTCTAGGTTAATACTGCCTTTTCTATCTTACTTCTAGGCACATTGTTAAAATACGAAGTTCTAGAAAGAAGCACAGCACAAGAGTATGTTTATACCTAAGTGTGCATCACTAAATCACTAACTACATTCCAGAAGCAAAAGTAAAATTTTATGGAGAATCCAGGATTTTGAATATTATGCAAATCCTAGCACAGGACAGGAAGAGCTGATTGTCTCACTGACTGAATTTTTCCCTTGTGCCTGACAGAGCACTAGCTAAAAAGCTCTTGGTTAGAATAGGAAAAAGTGGGCGCCTGGGTGGCTCAGTTGGTTAAGCGACTGCCTTCGGCTCAGGTCATGATCCCGGAGTCCCTGGATCAAGTCCCGCATTGGGCTCCCTGCTCAGCAAGGAGCCTGCTTCTCCCTCTGACCCTCCCCCCTCTCATGTACTCTCTCTCATTCTCGCTCTCTCAAATAAATAAATAAATCTTTAAAAAAAAAAAAAGAATAGGAAAAAGTTTCATTCAACATTTTCTTTTCACATAACCAAATAGTGCTTAGTTTGTACTAGAGAATCTACTAAGAGAGCAGTATGTAAAGAATGTCTGGATTTAAAGCTTGGATCCATCCAACTTGGAGGCTGGGTGCAATCTGCCAAGCTATTTACAATCTCTAGGCTTCAGTTTCCTCATCTATAAAGAGTAAGGACCCCTAGAGGGTTGATAAAATTAAATAATGTTATAGGAAATATGATCTCAAAACATTAGTCTTCCTTGTAATTAAATTGGCTTTAGCCACTCTTGCTAAAATGTAAGAGTTCCTGGTAGTGTGAGTAAACTGAAATAAGATTAATATTAAGCTCATGGGGAAAACATTTGAAAATCCTAAAAAAAAATTGGTTTTAAAAAGGAGAGTTTATGACTGTGTTGCTCAGAAGATGGAATATTTGGATGAACAATTTTCACTGAATTTCCTTTCTGCTGAGCTAACTCAATCAATACAGACACTTATCACCCCACATTTCAGCTATTTCTGCACCTCATTCCCTCAATTTGTTGTAGGTAACAGACACCCAACTGCCCTTTTAAATATTCAAAGTTAGAGTTGAAGAAGAGACCACAGATAGCCCTTGTTTTAAAGACAAAAGGATTCTCAGAAAAGAAGTAATGGTTTATACCATGTCTCAAAACTAATTAATGGAGATTTGGAATCAACCTTTTAGTCACTGGTCCTATAGATAGTGACCAATCCAGATCACTGGTCTTAAATTCTCTTTTCTTCAGATATATTAAGGTTGCCAGGGATCAAGAGTGTTATTACTTGTTTGTAGTTTACTTAAGTCACTGGGGATGTGGACACATTCCAATAATACTGCTCATGAGTCAATGGGGACTGACTTAGTATAGGTTCAGGAAAAAAGCCAGGAATGGTGATAAAGGATGGGCAAAAGAATTTTAAGCACTCTTCTATGGCCAGATACTATCCTTTGCTATCCCCTGTACCAAAGCCAGGCACATTCACTATAAGGGGGAAGTCTGAGTTCATCTAACATTCTGGATAATTAAACAAAAACATTTTATGTGCCACTCATGTATCTTTTAAAAGCAGTTTATAAAAGGCTTTGCTAGAAAATTAGCTTGAATACACCAAGAGAATACCCAATACATACAGTGTAGTTAAATTTCATGAAGAAGTCACACAATTCAAAACATAATTCAAGACTAGATTTGACCAAGAATCCTTGTTCATTAACTAAAAGAGGTATTGCCATATGCAACAGTTAATAATGAACTTGAAATGATGCAGTTCCTAGTGGCTTTCCTTCTTATTTCAAGGGGCAGGAGGGCAATTCATATTATCTCATCTGCAGGTTCAGATGAGACTTATTAACATGTTATGTAGCACTATTTCAAATGTGCATGGCTCAAATTAGCATAAACTGGGTTACTACTTGTAGTAAGCAACTAAGCAGGAATCATTTAATTGTGAATCATAATACTCGCTAAGATGGAAAATATCCTTATTTGTATATGAGCCTGAAAGGGAATTCTTAAGTTTAAAACCTGAATTTGGGGGCAACTGGATGGCTCAGTCAGTTAAGCGTCCGACATTTGGTTTCGGCTCAGGTCATGATCTCAGGGTCATGAGATCAAGCCCTGTGTCAGGCTCTGTGCTCAGTGGGCAGACTGCTGGAGATCCTCTCCCTCTTCTTCTCCCTCTATCCTCCCCATCCTCTCTAATAAATAAATAAGTCTTAAAAAAAAAATAAAATCTGAATTTGGACTTTTGTTTATAGTAGGATGGCAAGTATGTGTGTGTGTGTGTGTGTGTGTGTGTGTGTGTGTGTGTATGAAAGAGAATCTTTAGACAGATTTATGAGGCCACAGTACCCAGATATTTAATCAAACATAATTCTAGATGATTTATGAAGGTATTTTTTTTGCATAAAATTAACATTTATATCAGTAGACTCAGAGTAAAGCAGATTATCCTCCATATGAGTGGGCCTCATTCAATCAGTTGAAAGTCTTAAAAAGACTGAGGTCCTCTGAGTAGAAGGGGATTCTGCTTTCAGACTGCCTTGGATTGGAGCTGCAATGTTAACTCTTCCCTGAGTCTCCAGACTACCAGCTGCCCTGCACACTTCAGACTTACCAGCCTTCACAATAGTGCAGGCCAGTTCCTTGCAACCAATCTCTCTTATATATATGCACACAATACACACATGCACACACACTACACACACACACACTACACACACACACACTACACACACACTATACACACACACAATACACACACACACTATACACACACACACTCTACACACACACACAATACACACACACACACACTGAGGGTTCTAGAGGGGAGGGGGTGGGAGGATGGGTTAGCCTGGTGGTGGGTATTGAGGAGGGCACATTCTGCATGGAGCACTGGGTGTTATGCACAAACAATGAATCATGGAACACTTCATCTAAAACTAATGATGTAATGTATGGGGATTAACATAACAATAAAAAAATTTTTAAAAAAAGCATATTCAATAGACTGATTATAATAACAATGTTACAGTACCATCATACACTTTAGAAAGACATGAAAAGTCTAACTTTAACATTGAACAAGTAGTTAGGTGAAGAACATAAATCAGAGAATTACTTGACGAGGTGCTTTATTAAGATGTCCAGCATCTCTCTGTTTTTTTCTGGCAATTTGTGCACCAATGCATGTACAGCTTCCACCCGGTAGTTTTGGTCATCAGATTCTATAACATAAAGGTTGCAAATGGTCAAGTTTCAATTGCATTCAAACGTGTAAATAAACATTAGTAATCTAAACATTATAAACACTCCCACCCTCATGCCTTACAAACGTTGCTTTATGCAGTAAGTATTATTACTATCACTGGCTTAGAGCGGTTGAGTAACCTAACCATGGTCATGAAGTTAGTTAAGAAGTCAAACTAACCCAGTTCTATCTAATCCAGACCTGTGCTCATAGCCACTGGACTTCCATACAACCATAACTCATCACCTGCAATGTGAGTGATCACAGAAATTGTTACAGATGGCCTAATGTGCCAGGCAATATAATATACTTTATCACACATAAAACTTCCTAGTGACTCCATCAGACAAAGGAAGAAAGTATTTCTTTCCAAATTTTATAGATTTAAAGAGAACAGGGAATTACTGTTCTGAGGTGTCAGGATTATTATGCAAACAGAGGCCTGATAGATTTTAAGTGCACATTGACAATGGTAAATCTGAAAAGTGAAAAACCATCTAAAGGAAGACTAGTCTAGTCTGCCAGGCAAAAGCCAACATGCTGACATGTCTGCTAGAGAAACATCTAACACTTCAGAATGAAGAACCTATTAACATGCTCTTACTATAATAAACAAATTCTATGGTGACTACCTACCCTGCCAAGCCCTTTCTCTGAAAAGTGCTCAACAGGAGGTGAGGAAAGAGCATGCATGGCTCACGCTGGGCCAAACACAAAGTCTCCCAGGGGTTGGAATGGAGACACCAAAACTGTGATCTGTCTGCTTAGCTATGTGAAAAGGCATATCATGTAAGACCAGGGTTGACATGACCAAATGTGCTCCAAAGCCAAGAAAACCCGACTGGAAAGGGAGATACGAATAAGGCAGATATGCAGCAAAGAACAGAGAGGAGAGACCCTCCTAAAAGGATGGGAAGAGAAATACCAATTTCCAGTTTTGCAGCTCCTAGCTATAGGCCTGTGGAAAGCCTAATCCATACTCTGCCAGGGAATCTGTGAGACACCTTGTAATTTCTGAAAAACTTCCCCTTTTTACAGAGCTGAATTTCCAAATAATACCTAATTTTATTATCTTATTATCTGATACATGGTAATATCCTTGACCCAGACAAAAGATTAATTCTTATCTATAAGAATATATTTTAATTATCATGGTAGTGAATTATTTATTTGCCATGGAAATAGAGAAAAATAGCTTACAACCAAATGTTTCTATTAAAACAAGCTGTTCATTTTAGCTACTTAGCTAGGTGGCTCAAATGCCATTTGTTTAATTAACACAAAATTTCTGTAAGAAAGAGTTCTAGGGTAAGAGTCAAAAAAATTGGCTTGTAGCCCTGATTTTGCCATCAATTTACTAGTGTCCTTGGACAAAGTCACTGGCCCACTCAGGGACCTAGTCAATAAAATGAGAGGTCAGACTATACATTTTCTGAGGTTTTGTTCATCTAATAAGGATAGATTTCAATGAAGAGAATATAGAGTGGAAAGCTTTCAGGAGAAAGCTAAGTGGTACAGATGTTTATGAGATCATGTGGTCAGTCATGTATGCTGGATTGAAAACCAAGTCACTCAATGTTATCTGACACTTATCAGCAGACATTTCCTGTGACATTACAATGTGTGGTAATAAATTAATGTAACTGCTTTCTTTCTTGGGATTGTGAAAAATACTTGGTACAGTCATACCTCATACATCTTAACAATGAATTGCTAATTCCTAATGGTTAAATGTTGTGATGGGCTCAGATGGCAACCCTGCACTTTGGTTTTAATGTTTTAAAAGTACGTATTTCTGATTTCTCAGCTTACATGTTTTCACTGAGCCCCTCCCCACAATTTTTGAATTAAGCCTATCTATATATATTCCATTATAGCAATCATAGACCCAAAGAAATGACATAGATATGTGATCATTATTAATAAATAGGGGGAAAAGGATTGATGGAAGTGCCTGTTACCTGCCAAAAATACCTGACTCTTCTCTCCAGATTTAGGAATACAGCATGTAAGTATGAGTAGGTCGCACACCTGACTGTACATATTTGTAGTCTTATCTATTTAACCCTAAGGTTGCTCTTATAAGAAACTAACATCAATTGAGTAAAACGTAACTAAAATAATTCCTCTTAGCACCCTAATGAAGTCTTATTAAGTGGCAAAATATTCTAATTCATTCTGCAATTTCTTTAAATCAAGCTAAGTGTACTCTTGATTCCCTTCATCTATTTCCCCTATCCTCCACCCACCTCTCCTCTGGCAACCACCAGTTTGTTCTCTGTATTTAAGAGTGTTCCTTTTTTTGTTTGGTTTCTTAAATTCCACATATGAATGAAATCATATAGTATTGGTCTTTCTCTGTCTGACTTATTTTACTTAGTATTAGACTCTCTAGGTCCATCCATGTTGTTGCACAGGTCAAGATTTCATTCTCTCTTGTGGTTTAGTAATATTCCATTGTGCATACATACCACATCTTCTTTATCCATTCATCTATCGATGGACACTTCTGTTGTTGCCATGTCTTGGCTTTTGTAAATAATGTTGCAATGAATGTAACGGTGCACATATCTTTCTGAATTGGTGTTTTCATTTTCTTTGGGTAGATATCCAGTAGTCGAATTACTGGATCGTATGGTAGTTCTATTCTTAATATTTTGAGGAACCCTCATACTGTTTTCCAGAGTGGCTGCACCAGTTTGCATTCCCACCAACAATGCGAGAGGGTTCCCATTTCTCCACATCCTCGCCAACACCTGTTGCTTCCTGTGTTGTTAATTTTAGCCATTCTGACTGGTGAGAGGTGATAGCTCATTGTAGTTTTGATTTGTATTTCCCTGATGATGAGTGATGTTGAGCATCTTTGCATGTGTTTATTGTCCATCTGTATGTCTGCTTTGGAAAAATGTCTACTCAGGGCCTTTGCCTCTTTTTTAATCAAATTGTTTTTCTAGTGTTGAGTTGTGTAAGTTCTTTATATATTTTGGATATTAACCCCTTATCAGATATATCATTTGCAAATATTTTCTCCCCTTCAGTAGGTTGCCTTTTTGTTTTGTTGATGATTTCCTTTATTGCTCAAACTTTTTTATTTTGGTGTAGTCCCAATTGTTTAATTTTGCTTTTTGTTTCCCTTGCCAGAGAACACATATCTAGAAAAATGTTTCTCCAGTCAATGTCAAAGAGCTACTGCCTATGTCTTCTCCTACTTTTATGGTTTTAAGTCTCACATTTAGGTCTTTAATCCATCATTCACAATTTCCTACTTGTTTACAAACCGTACTGCCAGCTATTAAGTATCAAATGACAAAACTAAGAGGCAACCCATGGAATGGGAGAAGATATTTGCAAATGACATTACGGATAAAGGGCTGGTATCCAAGATCTTTAAAGAACTTCTCAAACTCAACACCCAAAAAACAAATAATCCAGTCAATAAATGGGCCAAAGACATGAACACACACGTCTCCAAAGGCATAGAAATGGCTAACAGACACATGAAAAAATGTTCAACATCACTAGCCATCAGGGAAATACAAATCAAATCCACAATGAGATACTACCTTACATCAGTTAGAATGGCAAAACAAGACAGGAAACAACAGATGTTGGTGAGGGTGTGGAGAAAGGGGAACCTCTTACTGTTGGTGGGAATGCAGGCTGGTACAGCCACTCTGGAAAACAGAATGGAATTTCTTCAAGATGTTAAAAATAGAGCTACCTATGACCCAGCAAAAGATACAGATGTAGTGAAATGAAGGGGCACCTGCACCCCAATGTTCATAGCAGCAATGTCCACAATAGCGAAACTGTGGAAGGAGCCGAGATGCCCTTCAACAGATGACTAGATAAAGAAGATGTGGTCCATATATACAGTGGAATATTACTCAGCCATTAGAAAGGACGAGTACCCACCATTTGCATCGACATGGATGGAACTGGAGGGGATGATGCTAAGTGAAATAAGTCAAGCAGGGAAAGACAATTATCATATGGTTTCACTCATGTGAATATAAGGAATAGTGCAGAGGACCACAGGGGAAGGGAGGGAAGAAATCAGAGAGGGAGACAAACCATGAGAGACTCTGGACTCTGGGAGACAAACTGAGGGTTACAGAAGGGAGGGGGACGGGAGGATGGGGTAACTGGGTGATGGGTATTAAAAGGGGCACGTGTGGTGATGAGCACGGGGTGTTATACCCAACTAATGAATTGCTGAACACTACATCAAAAACTATATGCTGGCTAATTGAACATAATGAAAAAAAAAAGTATCAGATTGACAGTTTCTTAAGCAAAATACAGGAAAATCTTAACTAGTTCATTTAAATTTATACCTCTAAGTGATAGAGCATAAAACTACATCAATTATAATACATCCAACGGAAGTGTACTTACTAACTGCAACAATAAAATCTTTGTGTAACTTGTAAGTCATCAGTGGTTCTGCAAGGCATCTGCAATGGATAAAGAAGCAGGCATTAGAATGGCAATATTTTTTTTATTTTCCCTGAACTTTCAGTGTTTCTCTAAGAGTTGGGTGATTAAGGAGTATGATCAAGACCTAGTAGGGCCGCTCCAGGCAGTCCCAAAATGCAGACCTCGAAGACACCAAAGCCCTTTAGCACTTCTTGGCATAATTGTACTAAAAAGGATGGCTGGAAAATCATTTTGTCACTGTGAGAACTACTGAACAACAACAGCAAAATACCTCTCAGATATGGGGACAATAGTTAAATAAAAAACAAAAACAAAACAAAAAACAACTTTCAATTTCAGCTTTAAAAAAAATACATGAAAACACCACATTCAAATTTAATATGAAACAAAGCATTATTTAGTATTCCTAAAATACTGCAGCCTGTTTATTATTTGAAAAAGCATGTATAAGTTCCAAAACACTAAATATAAATATCACCACCTTGTGCTATTTCACCTGAAGTGAAGGTATTGCTCTAAATAGTGAAGTTCATGCACAGGATCTCCAAGGAATCACATGGCAACTGCCCAAGGAGGTAAGAGAGACATCACATGCAGAGTAGGAGTTCAACCTTCCTTACCTGAGGTAGTTTTTCAGTCCACTTGTTATTGTCTTATTATCCCACAATTCAATATCAATGTCAATATCAGGAGGGGATTTTGGAGCTGAAAAGAGTAAAAAATAAGATGTTTAAACTGCAATTCAAAACATCACTCACACCATAAAGAAGATGTACACAAATGTAAGTAGGCCAAAGAGAGAGACATTTATTTCTTAGAGTGCCAACAGATTTAAAGTTTTGAATTGTTGTTTGTGCGAACTAGTGCAAATCTCACTCTGATGCTTTATAAACCTCAAAGACTTCTTGTGGAATAACAGTGTTCCAAATCAAATTATTATCAATTGCTAACATCACAGAGCACTTACCATCTGCCAGGCATGCTTCCAAGTACATTATATGAATTAACATATCCAATCCTCATACTTCTCAATGAGGCAGGCACTATTATTATCCCCATTTTATGAATGAGAAGGTTGAGGCACAAAGAGTTTAAACAAATTACCCAAGGTCACAAAGCTTTTAAGTGGCAAGTCAGGATTCCAAGCTAGGTAATCTTTGAATCCAGCACCCATAAATCTCAATGCACCTCTAGCTAATCAAAGAACACTTGAGAAAAAGTCCAACATTATAAAAAGGGCCCCTCCCAAATTCTGACTGTTCATCTATTATAACTGAACATTAAAAACTGAATGCAAATATTAACTTTAAATATTACTTGAAAATATTCAAAGGCAAGCAATAGTATAATTCTCAAAGAAAGCTATGGTTTGGATTATCTATAATACAAAAATTAAGTAACCAGCTTCATCCAAAACTTACAAAATGTTGTGTTCATGAGTTTCTGAACTTTGGAGTTTACTCCTCCTATTCGGTAGAGGCCTAAAATAGTGATGCCTAATGAGAAGGAAAAATCACAAGAAAATGGCTTGAGACCAGCAGCACAAGTACAGAATGTTAAAAACCTTAGGCATATACCTATACAGAATTTGAAAGCTACTTGTCCAATTTTGCAGTCTAACTTCAGCAAATCTACCCTGGAAACACCCATCACACATATATTTCTCAGAGCAGACACTGAACAGTGTCTGAAAGTCTTTTGAAGATCTTTAAAGTAGCAAAGTACCCCTGTTCATTCACCACTATTTGAATACAAAAAGCATCAAAGATGGGAAATGATAATCAGGACTTCTCATCCTCTATTTCTTCAGTCATGGAGTCCTGCATGTTGAAGAGTTGGAAGGCTTTTACATTTTCATTTTGAAGATGAGGAAACAGATTCAGAGAATTTAAGAAACATACTTAGCTTCTCAAAACTTCTAAGTGGCAGCACCAAAATCTGAGCCTAAGTTCACAGAATTTCAAAGCCCAATATGAGTTTTGCTAAAGCAAAGTTTTCCTGGAAGGGAAAGAGTGTAATAGGCACTGGAGTGGGCTTCAGGTGAGAGGTCATGACTAGAGAGAGGAAAGGTGCTATAATTGTGACCGTGACTGAAATCACTGAGGGAAATAATATAAGGAAGGAGGAAGACCAGCTCCTTAAGAATGTTATCCCACTAAAGCTTGAAAAAAAATCAAAGAAGTGGTTATAGTAATAAATAACACAAAGTCTATCAATAAGAAGTAAAGCAACCCTTTATTAGGAAAGATCATTAAAAAGAAATACAGTGAAAGACATGTATCATATGACCTCACTGATATGAGGAATTCTTAATCTCAAGAAACAAACTGAGGGTTGCTGGAGTGGTGGGGGGTGGGAGGGATGGGGTGGCTGGGTGATAGACATTGGGTAGGGTATGTGTTATGGTGAGCGCTGTGAATTGTGCAAGACTGTTGAATCACAGATCTGTACCTCTGAAACAAATAATACATTATATGTTAAAAAAAAAAAAGATAGCAGGAGAAGAATGAAGGAGGGAAATCGGAGGGGGAGATGAACCATGAGAGATGGACTCTGAAAAACAAACTGAGGGTTCTAGAGGGGAGGGGGATGGGAGGATGGGTTAGCCTGGTGATGGGTATTAAAGAGCGCACGTTCTGCATGGAGCACTGGGTGTTATATGCAAACAATGAATCATGGAACACTACATCAAAAACTAATGATGTAATGTATGGTGATTAACATAACATAACAATAAAAAACTACAGTATGATTTTTGGTAAAGTTCAAGCTATAGTTTTTTGTATATGTAGATAATTTATAAATTTATATAGTTCTTAAAGTTAATTTCATGTTAATGATGAAACACATCCTCATTTTTTGAGAGGTTTCTATATAAGAATGAACTACATGAACTACATAACAGTAACAATGTACCTGTCAGGCAACACTTACCTCTTGTTTCCACAGCTTGAATGCATTTTCTCACAAAGTTGAACCCTGCTTCATTTAAGTACACTGAAAAAAGAAAATCACAGTAAGGGTTTATGCCCAACTTCCATTACCCCTTAGTTGGCTCTGCTGTTTTAGGACTTAATGGCACAGTTTTAGTTAGTCTGAATCTTTATTTTGGGGTAGAAGTAGAGAGGTTCGCAGTCACCAAAGTTACTACATAAACTTGCTTCCTTAGAATACACAGATCCTTCATAGAAGGCAAATATGTTACACTGATCCTGTCCATTTTTTCTAAAATTAGCCTTATCTTTTGTTACATGTTATTCCAGATGATAGAAGCAAATGTACTAAGAAAAAAAACCTTTATTATGTGTTGGTAATTATATTACAAAGCTAGTCACATATTCTTTTTCATGGGATTCTCAAAACATTATGAAGTAGAGAAATAGCTTTGTAATCTTAAGATGGTTCACCAGGTTGCTGAAAATTTCACTTTGTTCCAAGCTTGTGAACCAGAATTCTAACACAGATCTCCTGAATCCAAGTCCAATATTCTTCTCACTGCATTTTTTATCATATGCAAAGTAATTCAAAATACATTTAGTCAACCAAAACTCCCCCAAAGATCCTACATTACGAAATAGCAATTTATTTTCACTGCTTTTGCTAGATTTTTAAACCTGTTCTAATTTTCTTAAGTTTTGAAACCAGATCAAATTAGATTATTTGTTTTTAAAAAAAGGATTTAACTTAAGAATATCAAGTAATACCCTGAGGAAAGATTCAAATGTTTTCTTGGTACTATAATGAAAATTTTCATCATATGTGGTAGAGATATATTTCTTAATATTCTCAAATTATATATGAAAATAATTCAAATCAATAAAAAACTAAACTGGCTTCCAATTAAAGATGGTGTATTAGAAGGAGGCTGGAAGATGGTGGAGTAAGGGGACCCTAAGCTCACCTCATCTCATGGATACAACTAGATAACACTCACACCAGTGTAAATAACCCAGAAAATGAAGACTGGCAAAACAAACTCCACAACCAAAGGCAGAGAAAAGTCCACATCGAAGAGGGTAGAAAAGGTGGAGACATGGTGGGGAGCAAAACAGAGGTGGCCATCTGTGATCAGGAGGGAGCCACAGGCACAGAGAAGGGTGAGAAACAGACTAACACACCAGGAAGCTTGCATGGGAGAGACGAATCCTCCTAACATTTGGTTTTGAAAGCAAGAGGAGCTGAATTTACTGACTTCTTACAAATAAGAAGGACTTAAAGCCTGGAAGCTTAAAAATCAGCTGGCTCCATTTTGGAAGAGGCTGAAGGCAGAAGGAAGATGAGTCCCTGCCCTTAAAGAGACAGCATGACAAACAGCCCTCCAAAAACAGGGTAGAAGCAGTACTTTGAAAAACACCTGGGGTGTACAGTAGGGAGAGTTATTTACTCATCTCAGAGCATGTCCAGAGTAAGACTCTTCCAGGAACAAAGGAGCTGGCAGGTGCCACTCCCCTTCCCCACGCTTAACATAAACACATGGGCACCTGCAGAAACCAGCAGGAATTTCCCTACATAATTTTCTTACACCAAGCCCCACACCCTAGTGATTTGGCACATCCACCCTTTCCACTCATGCTTGCATCAGTCCCAGCACCACAGGCCACCCCCCTCAGAAATCCAGCGCAAACTTTGCCAACACTACATCTTTCCACCCATGCATTTTGCAAGACTGTGGTTCTGGCAGTAGCAGCTGTAAGCCTTGTGGAAGTTCGAGGAGCACCTTGTTAAAACTGCACAACCCACTCACAAGGCCCGGGTCCTGGAAGCTACAGGTCTCAGGTCTCATTTCATAAGCAGAGCACACCTTGTTAAAACTGCATACCACACCCCCACCAGGGACAAAATGCTGCCCACAACAGGCAAAGAGAGCCTCTGCAGACAACTGGACTGAAGGAAAAAGCAGCCAGGACAAAACAGCAAAGCACATGCAACACACATAGGAGACACCACCTGAAGCATCGGGCTCTGGGGAAGAGGGGAAACTGCACTGCAGGGCACTACAGGACCTCTTCTTCATAAGACCACTACATTCAAGAGGAGTAGACGTAGCTGACTTTCCTGACACAAAGAAACAGACACAGAGGCAAAATGAGGAGACAGAGAAATATATCCCAAATGGATTAAACAAACCCACAAAAACGACAGTAAGAGACCTAAGAGAAATGGAGTAATACACCTGACAGAGAATTTAAAGTAATGATCATAAAGATACCCACTGTACTTGAGAAAAGAGTGGAGAATGTAAGTGAGATGCTTAACAAAGAGATAAAAAAGAACAAATCAGAGATGAATAAAACAATAAACGGAATTAAAAATACACTAGATGGAATAAATAGCAGGCTAGAGGAAGCAGAGGAATGAATGAGCAACCTGAAAGAAAAAAAATTATGCAAAATGAGAAAAGACTTAGGGAACTCAGCTACTTCATCAAGTGTAATAACATTTGCATTATAGGGATTCCATAAGAACAATAAAAGGGTTCAGAAAATTTATGTGAAGAAATACTAGCTAAAAAGTTTCCAAATCTGGGAAAGGAAACAGATATCCAGATCCAGGTGGCAAATAGATACCCAGATCCAGGAGGCAGAGGTCCCCCCGCCAAAATCAACTCAAAGAGGTCAACACCAAGACACAAAGTAATTAAAATGGCAAAAAGTAGTGATAAAGAATTTTAAAAGCAGCAAGACAAAAGAAGATAGTTACACACTAGGGAAATGCTATAAGGCTATGAGTGGATTTTTCAGCAGAAACTTTGGAGGACAAAAGCAAGTGGCATGATATATTGAAAGTGCTAACAGGAAAAAATATGCAGCCAAAAATACTCTTTTTAGCAACACTATCATTCAGAATAGGAGAGATTCTCAGACAAACAAAAGCTAAAGTAGTTCATGTTCACTAAACCAGTCCTACAAAAATATTAAGGAAACACATGGAGTGGAAAGGAAAGACCATAAGTAAGAGTATGAAAAGAAGGAAACACAAAAGCAGTAAAAATAAGTATATCTGTAAAAATCAGTGAAAGAACTCATAAAATAAAAGGACGTGAAATAGGACACCATATACCTGAAAAATGGGGATAAGAAGAAAGAATGAGTTCTAATTTAAGCGACCATCTACTGAATATAGGCTGCTATATGCAGAAGATGTTCTATACAACCCTAATGGTAACCACAAATCAAAACACAATAACAGATACACAAAGAATAGAGAGAAAGAAATCCAAGTTTATCACTAAAAAGTGTGAAAGAGAGCAAGAGAAGAAAGAATCATAGAAAAACTACAAAAATGACCACAAAAAAGTAACAAAATAGCAATAAATACATATCTATCAATAATTACTTTGAAAGTAAATGGACTAAAAGCTCAATCAAAAGATGGAATGGGTAGAAAAACAAGCCCATCAATATGTTGCCTATATAGACTCCTTTCAGAACTGATGACACATGCAGATTGAAAGTGAGGGGCTGGAAAGATATTTACCATGCAAATGGATGTCAAAATAAAAGCAGGGCAGTTATACTTACATCAGATGAAATAGACTTTAAAACAAAGACAGTAACAAGAGAATAATGACACTATATAATAATAATAACAATCCAACAAGAGGATATAACAATTCTAAATATTTATGCACCCAACATGAGAGTACCCAAATACATAAAACAGTTAATAACAAACAAAGGAACTAACTGATAAATTAATAGTAGGGGATTTTAATACCCCACTTACATCAATGGACAGAGCATATAAACAGAAAATCAACAAGAAAACACTGGCTTATTTGCAACGACGTGGATGGAACTGGAGGGTATTATGCTGAGCAAAATAAGTCAATCAGAGAAAGACATGTATCATATGACCTCACTGATATGAGGAATTCTTAATCTCAGGAAACAAAC